GGGAGCGCCACCACGCTCCCAAGCGGCGCACTGTAGCAGTGCGCCACCGGGCCGGCCCGGGGGGCTTGATGTTTTGATGGGACTTTGTGGACAGGCTGTTTTTGTCTGTGATCTTGTGGCTGACTTGGATGGGTTTTGAATGGACTCTGGGTTCTCAGTGTGTTTGGTGGAGGGAGTGGTTAGTTTTGGGGTCAGAGAAACCTGGAATTCCCCCTTGATATCCCCTTTCTCTCCCCCATATCCAATCCATTGCCAGATTTTGCTTCTTTAATATCTCTTGACTCAATCCTTGGACACAACATTGATTGCCTGCTCTCTGTGGCCATCACCTCTGCCCATGACTGTGGCAGCTTCCTAAATGATCTATGTCTACTGCTGCAGCCAGAGAGAGCATTTCAGGCCCTTTTCCCTTTCATCCCCCTTGTTGGCCTTCCCATTGCTTAGACTACAGAGCAGACTTTTGACCCTGGCCTACAAGCCAGGCCAGGCCCTGTCCATCTGTCCAGCCCCATTGTGTCCCCCATCCTCCTCTTGTGCATCTCTCTGCATTTAGTTCCTCAAATATGCTTAGCTTCCCAGCACAGGCCTTGGTATGTGCTTTCCCCCACTGCGCAGAAGGCTCGAACTGCACTGTCTTCCCCAGTTATCTCCTTCTCACCCTAGAAGATCAGCTGAGATCTCTTCTCAGCCAGCCTCCCTGCCTCCCCTCCCGCTCCTCCGGCAGGTCTTGGGACCCTCCTCATCCTTTGGGGCCTTTTGCACATGTGTCAGTTTACTCTTGTGATGCCCACCTGTCTCCGTGGCTAGGCTGTGATCTCTGTGAGGGCAGGGGCTGCGTCTCTTCTTCAACGCTGTCTCCCCAGTGCCTAGCATAGAGCCTAGCACATAGTAGATCTCGGTTGTGTAATCCGGGTATGGGCTTGGACTTCAGCTTGGCAAGCTGAGCATCCTTGCGGAAGGGCTTCTGAAACAGGTGGTGGTGTGGCTCCACTGTGGAAGCGCTTCACAGGGCATACGAAGACCAGCTGACTGGTCTCTGGAACAGAAAAACCCAGCAGGAAGGGAACTAATGTTGACCAAGCTTCCACTATGTATGTGCCAGGCACCTTGGTCTCATTCCAGGGGTCACATCAACCACAAGGTGGAACCATCCCTGTTGCATTCTCCAAGAAACCAGAGGTCTTAGAGGCCTCAGAGGTCACAGAGCTGGATGTTGATGGAGAAGAAACTTGACCCCAGCTATGTTTTAAGCCAGAGAAAAGAGGGAACCCATCAAACTGGTCCTTCTGTTATCTCGTTTCTGTCTCTTGTAAATGATTGGTGGGGAAGGTCAGCAGAAATGGCCATCTGTGTGAACCCTCTACCTGCCTGCCATGGCCAACCTGGCTACTAGGGTGGGTAGGGAAGAGCTGCAGTCACTGAGCCCTTCTTCTTTGGCACAGGTGACCCTGGAGAGCCCAGCCTGGGGTTCACATACAAATCATCACGCACTGCAAAGAAGGTCCTTCAGAGTAAGTAGCCCCACCCCATCCCCATGGCAACAGCGTGGCTGCGGCTGGCCGGTGCTCTGGCTGAGACACTCACAGGGGTCGCTGCTTTTTCCAGATGGGCACAGCCCATCCCATGTCACTATGGGTCCAGCTAGAGAAAAGTCTGGCGACAGACTCCACAAAGAGGGAGTTGAAGGACTGTTGCAGGAGCTCCTGTCCATCAGCGTTGGTGGCTCAGGGGTGTTCACTGGGTATTCGGGCTGTCTGGAATAGCGGGTTACCAAAGCTGGCCTGTTTTAAGAAACATTTGCTGTACCCAAGTTCTGGCACTTAGGCAGAGCCCCCTGGAGGAGATTGGCAGGGGTCCCAGAGGAGCAAAGGCTAACCCCCGTTGGTGGCACAGGGGTGTTCAGTCTTTGAGTTGTAGTGTGCTTCTGCTATTACAGTGTTTCCCAACCTCTTTTTCATTATCGCTCTCCTTCCTCTCCCCCCCGAGCCATTTTAGAACACTTTTTTCCTAATTGTCCCCCTATGAAATTTTAATACCACACATGTATTGTATGTTGGTTCATATACTGTGCTTTTATACATAAAAAAGAGGAAGTTTTTAAAAATTTTTTTTTGTCTTTTGTCTTTTTCCGTGTCCAGCAACGGATCGCAACCCTCAGTGTTGCCCCCGTACCGGACTGGGGACCGGCAACGGGATTGCAACCCTCGGCGTTGCTCCCGCGCCTCGCTCAGCCAGTGAGCGGGAACCGGTCCGTATGTGGGATCCGAACCCTCGGGCGGGAGCGCCGCCGTGCTTCCCAAGCGGCGCACTATCCAATGCGCCACCGGGCCGGCCCCGGAAGTTTTTTTTTTAACCTCCCTCCCCAAAGGATCAATTTTTGCGCCCCTCCCCGGGGCGATATCACCCTTGTTGGGAAGACATGTGCTGTTGACGTGGAGCTAGGGGAGGAGAATGGTCCTGTTTCCTCATGTGTCAGATTTGGATGGTAATGATATTGAGCCCACGGGATTATTGTGAGTGAAGTTCACATGGGACACTGATCGTGAGAACTACTGATAAGCCATAAATACGTCACTGTTAGTTATTGCCTCCCTGAGAAGTCAGTGTGAACCAAGGAGGGATGCCCCGCACCACTGGGTGGCTGAGTGGATGAGAGAGCTCTGGGTTTGTTGTTTGTTTTTACTGTTTGGTTGTCTTTAGCAGACAAACGGTGGTAGCAGTCCCTGAATGGAATAGAGTCAGGGCTGGGGTGCCAGGAGCAGACGGGAGGGAGCCCTCAGCCCAGCTGGAAACATTGAAGGGCACTTTGTGTGCAAAGGGAAGTTAAAGGGTCGGCCAAAAAATACCAGAAACTCACGTCTTTCTTGAGTCAGACTGCCCCCAACAGCATCCTTACCGCTGCCCAGATGACAGCAGCACCCTTAGCATGAGTGGCTGCAATGCTGGCCATCAGGAAGGCCCGCTTCCTGGCGGGCGGTTGCCCTCTTGCCCTAGCAGAGTGACACTCTAGGAAATAGTTGGAGCCATGGAAGTTAAATTCGGGAATGAATCGAGGCTCCTCTGTGTTGAAAGTGGCTTAAGATAAATAGGCTGAGGGGGTGGACTAGTCATAGTGTAGAGAGACACCTAAGAGTAGCCATGACACAGCCTGGGGTCCTTCTTAGATGCTGGTCCCATGGGAGTGGGCGGGAGAGTAGTGGAGGAGAGGACGTGGGGCGAGGGTGAAGACAGCTCCTGGGGGACGTATGACTCTGCAGTGGGAGGAAGGAGGCACCTGGGGGCCACGTGGGGTTGAGGGAGGGTCTGGTGGTGAGGCAAGGGATCATGGGAGAGCAGGGCTTACCTGTGATGTAAAGTATCCTGCAGGTGGGCAGGGATAGGATCCTTTGCATTCCAGTGGTGGGGATGTGGCCAAGAGGGGACCCGGAATCTTCAGCCCACTTGAGTGTGCTTTGGCATCACCCAGAGGGTTGTCAACCACAGATCGCTGGGCCCCACCCCCAGACTTTCTGATTCAGTAGGCCTGGCGTGGGGCCCGAGAATTTGCACTTCCTACAGGTTCCCAGGTGAGGCTGATGCTGCTGGTTGGGAGACCACACGCTGAGAACCACTATTGTAGCTAAACTCAGTTCTCATAGGTACACACTCCAGATATTTTTCAAAGACTATCATGATACTTGGCAAGCACATTTGATTAGTGACTCCCTATTTGTTTTTCTATTTGCTTTTGTCTTTTATGAAGATATAATTTACCTACAGTAAAATGCACAGACGTTAAACATACAGTTAGGTAAACTTTGACAAATGCATGCACGTTACCATTCTCCAAATCAAGATATAGAATTTCCATTACCCCAGAAAGTTCCTTCATTCTCTGTCTCAGTCAGTGACTTGCTTCCCAACCACCAGTACTGGTTTCTGTCACCATACATTGGTTTTGCCTGTTGGCCCTTTATAGTTTTCAAGTTAAAACATCCTAGCTGTATGTGTATGGGTCAGATTCATGCAAGTGAATATTATTATGGTCTTGTGACAGTGTCGTGTTGTGCTTGAACATATCTTAATTCGGAAAACTTTCTTTTTCAGAAGAAGAGAAGAAACCCAAGAATCCTTGTAAGTTACGCGTTTCTGCATCTTTTTGTTTCTTGAGGCTGCCCAAGCACAGAACTAAATGCTGGCAACAAAAGTTGACCCATCTTATCAGGGTTCTGTGATGGGGCCTGAGTTTTATGATTATATTCTGTAATGACAGGCAGGCCTGAGGTTGGAAGTGAGGCCACGTGAAAATGAATAAGACGAATAAGATAGCTGTAGCCCTTCTGGACTCACCTGTGTGGCCCTGGCTATTCAGGTGTGTGTTGGTGGAAGTGGCTCTTAACAATCAGCTTGGAGGGAGCAGAGGCTGTAAAGTTACTCCACGTCATGTCACCAATTCACGTTTCTCCTCCGTCCTCCCCAGATACCGCCCCTGCCTCACCCAAGAAGATTCCCACCTTTGGAGCCCCAGAACAGTTAGTGGATTTAAAAGAAGTTGGCCAAGAGGGTGAGATATTGTGGGCAAGGGGCCGTGGTGTGTCCACTATGAATTTGTCCTGAAAATAGCTCTCTGGTTCCCCTCTCAGCTGCAGCCAACACCACTGCCTCACAGCCGAACACAGCAGCTCTCAAGGCCAAGGTGCTGGAGACCTTCTTAGCCAAGTCCAGATCCGAGCTCCTGGAGTGTGAGTAGCTTCGGTTGTGGTGCAGACCTGCTGGCTCTCTGTCTGTCCTGTGCAGCTCTGCATCGCCCTGGCCCTTGGCCCTTGGCCCTCAGCTTGGTCAGCTGCTGTTCTTCACCTGGCCTCTGCTTTGTGGCTGCCTTATTTCCTCCCTTTCAGCAGTACCTGCCTTTCCTCACCTCCCTTCCTAGCCAGCTTATTTGCACAATTGTCCTTTGAGTCTCTGTCTTGCCATTCAGTCGGGCTGATCTGAGTTGCCCCTTCGCTGGGCTGGCAGAGTAGCCGTCACTGGGGCTCCACTGCCGGCACTACTGCTCTGTGTCCCCTGTCTGTTTTCTTCTCCCTCTCCAGAACCACCATTCTGGAGCCTTCCCACTTCCATGATTCTGGTCTTCTCCCTGTCCTTCCCACCCCCTGCTTCTCAGAGAAGAGAGGCAGCCTGGAGCGGCCTCCCATGGCCTGTCAGTCATGGTCATCTCATCTGCATCTACCTCTTGCCCCGTGTCCCCTCCACCCCTTTCCCCAAGGTTGGTCCTTTAGCCCTGGATTCTGGAGCCCACCCTCCTGCTCTCTCTGGAATCTTCCACCCACAGTTAGGCCTCCTCTCTGCTGTCTCTTCACCCTCACCTTCTCTATCGGGGCCTGCCCATCCAGAGCATGTTCAAATGTCTCTAAATCCCAAAAACAGAATCAGCAAAACCAGCAGAACTTTCTTGGCTGCAGTTCCATTTCTCGCCTCCTTTTCACCTGAATGCCCATTAAAAATACAAATTCCTGGGCCCGCATTTAACTCATTTCTTTGGTGATCCTTTTGAGGAAAATTTGGGAAAATGCAGTTCTAAAGATTATTCCCATTGGTGGGTCTCCGCTGTGACTGCGTGTTAGAATCCCCTGGGGAACTCTCTAAAATACTTGATGCCCAGGCTGCACCCCAGACCGGTTCAATCAGAATCTCAGTGGTTTCCAAAGCTGCCCAGGGTTGCAGTGTGTGGCCGAGGTGACAGCCAGAAATCTCATCATCGTCCTACTGCAGCCTGACCTCTGCCCCTGCCCTTTGACTGAGACAGCTCTCACTGAGGTCAGCAAGGGCCTCTATGCCTCTAAACCCAAAGGACACCTTTCAGCTTTTATTTAGCATGATCTTGGCAGCATTCCTGCTCTGTGTCATACTCTCTCCCCTTGCACACTCCCCTGGGTTTCCAGCTGCCCCATAGTTGCTGCTTCTCTGGTGCCTTTGCAAGCGTGTCCTCCCATGTCCGATCTGGAGGTGGTTGGAGTTCCTTCTTCAAGGCCAGGGCTAGGGCCCTCCCGCCACCCCTCTTTCTGTTTCGTCTTCACCCAGCCCTTCACATGCAGCCCTCTACTTGTATCCACTTCCACACGGCGCCCAAAACCTAGCTCTGAAAACACACCTTGGGCCCTTCCTTTCTCTGCAGCTACAGCAGGCTGGGTGGTGATCTGTAGGTACCCTGGCTTCTCAGGGCTGGACTCCCTGGAGTCCCCTACTGTCCCTGGCCCCAAGTGAATCTCAGAACCAGCACTGGGCTGGAGCTCACCGTTGCCCGAGCCGCTGGCAGTGGTGCTGAGCTACATAAGCAGGGAAAGGAAAGCTTTAGCAACTTAGGACCTTAGAGAACATTTCCCAGCCCCTTCATTTCACCCAGGGGGAAACTCAGGCCCCAGTGAAAAGCGTGGTGTCCTAAGCCACCTAGCTGGGGAGTGAGTGGTAAGTGCTGTTGAAACCGAGGTCTCTTGGTTCCCAAGTTCCCAAGCCAGGATTGTCTCTGTTTGCCTTGCTGCCCCATAACCTGTCTCTTGAAGGCCCAGGATCACCTGTGCGGGGAGGGGCAGAGAAGGTGTGTCCTAGGGAGGAGGCTGAGTGTGGGAGCTTAGTCTTCAGATCTCCTGGATCTGGTTGGAAGTGGCAGGAAGGATAAGGAGGGTGTGCTAGTGTCTCAACCAAGGATGTATTCAGGCCATTTCTGGGCTTACAGACCTCGATTGGCTCCTTGCTGCTCACCAGTTAAAGTCTAGACCCCTTGGCTATTTGCTCTCTGGCCCCAACATGTTTGCTTTCTCCCACTGCTTCTGTGACCCAGCCACTCAGCCTTCCTGGTCCCCGCACATGCCCACCGTCCTGTGACTCCACGGCTTTGCCCTCACTGTTCCCTCTGCCCAGAGTAGCCTTTCTCTCGCCTCTCTTCTCCTCTGTGTAGTTCGTCTCATCTTATGTTGTTGGCTCAGATTCCAGCCTGCCTGTGAATATTCCCCTGTGCTCTCCCCACCCCTCAGGTGGAATCAGCTGCCTTATCTCTGTGTCCCTACAGCACTGTGTAGACCCTTGTGAGACCCTTGAGCAGATTGCGGGTCTCACAAGTGTTGTTACTGATGGACTTGCCTTGCTTGTTGGAGTGTGAACTCCACGAGGTCTCTCGCTCATTGCTGTGTGTCTTGCTGAGAATCTGCCATCAATCAGATGCTCAGTAAATGGCTTTGGGTCAGACAAATGGGTGACTGATAGATGGACAGATGGCTGGCCGGCTAGACAAAATGGCTAGATGGCTAGATGTGTGGATGGATGGATGGATGGATGGATTGGTGTGTGAGTGGCTGGATGGATAGAGCAAATGAGGCTGGCTGGTTAGCTCACTTGGTTAGAGCACAGTGTTACAACACCAAGGTCGAGGGTTCGGATCCCCATACCAGCCAGCCACCAAAAAAAAAAAAAAGAAAGAAAAAGAAAATGAATCAATAGTACCATTAAGGGAAAGTCTAAAAGTGAGAGCACTTTGGGCTCCTTGTAACTGATTCCTTGGGGTGATGTTTCCTCAGATTATGTTAAAGTCATCCTGGACTACAACACCGCCCATAACAAGGTGGTTCTCTTGGAGAATTACTCTGTAGCTTCTGTGGCTGACATCCCTCAGAGCTATCGGCCCCATCCCCAGCGGTTCACATACTGCTCCCAGGTGCTGGGCCTGCACTGCTACAAGAAGGGGATCCACTACTGGGAGGTGGAGCTGCAGAAGAACAACTTCTGTGGGGTGGGCGTCTGCTACGGCAGCATGGAACGGCAGGGCCCCGAGAGCCGGCTCGGCCGCAACAGCACGTCCTGGTGCGTGGAGTGGTTCAACACCAAGATCTCCGCCTGGCACAACAACGTGGAGAAAACGCTGCCCTCCACCAAGGCCACGCGGGTCGGCGTGCTTCTCAACTGTGACCATGGCTTTGTCATCTTCTTCGCTGTTGCCGACAAGGTCCACCTGATGTATAAGTTCAAGGTGGACTTCACCGAAGCTCTGTACCCGGCCTTCTGGGTGTTCGCTAAGGCCACACTGTCCATCTGCTCCCCCAAGTAGGCAGGCCACGGACACCCTGGCTGACTGCCTGTGACTCTAGTGAAAATGCTGCAGGTGGAAATCTTTTTAGAGAACTTTCTGAGTGTCCGCAAGGGTTGAAGGGATGGGAGGGGGTTTGGTGAGAGGGTGAGGAGATGGAATAAGAAGTGGGATTTGGAGAGGGAAAGGGGTGGGGGTCACTGTGTTGTGGGCTAGGAAGCATCTTCAGCTCCTGGTGCCCATCAGGGCAGGGTGACCCCCTCCCCATTGTTCTGGGAAATCTCCAGGCTGCTGGGCAGCTGGGCACAGCTTTGGGGAGTAAAGTCATTAATGCCCCTTTCCTCTTAGAAAAAATTGACAGCCACAGCGGTTTCTTTCTCGGGCCACGTGGTATACACCCCTTTGCTTTCCGGACTAGCCTTCAGATCTTGATGTTTTGATCAGTCTGAATAGATTTCTTTAAAATTCCAAAGTCACTGAATTTCAATTTTTTTTTTTTTTTTTGTCTTTTTGTCTTTTTTCTTGACTGGCAACGGATTGCAACCCTCAGTGTCGCGCCTATACCGGACCGGGACCGGCTACGGGATAGCAGCCCTCAGTGTTGCGCCCGCACCTTGCTCAGCCAGTGAGCGGCTGGTCTGTATGTGGGATCCGAACCCTCGGCGGGAGCGCCGCCACACCTCCCAAGCGGCGCACTGTAGCAGTGCGCCACCGGGCCGGCCCCTGAATTTCAATATTAAGGACCCCCTTTTACCCACATGATGGAGCTCGGTCTCCTGATTATTATCCGTGCTATGGGGAAACCACACACAGCAGGTCTCCACGCAGATAAAATTTTCCAAAGGAGAGTGTCTACTTCACTGGAAAACAGCCATTTCCCTTCCTATCCTGCTTGTCCCATCACCATCCCCCTACCCCAGGGTTTTAAAATGTTTCTTTGAACAGGAACCTTTTAAGCTAAGTCTTCAAACCATGATCTGAATGAACCTGTGTTGAATTTGTGATTCAAGGTCAAGGTGGCCCAGGTCTAGTCGTCCCATCACCATCCCCCTACCCCAGGGTTTTAAAATGTTTCTTTGAACAGGAACCTTTTAAGCTAAGTCTTCAAGCCATGATCTGAATGAACCTGTGTTGAATTTGTGATTCAAGGTCAAGGTGGCCCAGGTCTAGTTTGGACAGAAATCCCTTCCACTCCCATGCTATGACAGGCATCTCGGCGGAGGCTTAGGCTACTGGATGAGGAACCCTGCTGGGCAGGTGGGACCCTGTTCTGCACTAACAGAAGCGTGGTGGTTTTGCTCTTATTAGAGGGTCTTGCCTTTTTACTGACAACTCTCCTCAGTGATAGCTTCTGCCTCCTCTGGATTATGACATATTAGACTGTCTGGTGCAGATACTACTGTGGCTAGCACAGTCAGGTAAGCCAGATATCCAAAGCCTGCTATCATGCAGACAGGCTGCATGTGGCTGCCTCGGGGACCATACTAGGTCACCTGCTGGGGTGTGACTACCCATGACCAAAAGGGCCATATAGCAGATCCCGTGGGAAACAGCAACATTCCTCTTCATCCCTGGCCACAGGCTGCAGACCCAGTGCTGGCCTTTGCATGAGTCAGAGGCCTGTGGCTGGCTCTAGCTCTTCTGCCTTCTTCCTCATTTGAGCCAATTCCAGATGCTCACAGTGACCAGCCTAGAGGTCAGGAAGACTATTAAGGACCAGGGAGGGAACGAGCGAAAGATGGTCAGACAGGTGGCTATTTTCCTTGCAGTGCTCCTGTGCAGTGAAAATAACCCAGTCAGTTAAGGGGCAGGAGTGAATGGATTGCTGGAGTATCCCCAAGCTACTTATAGTCTGATGTTGTCAGGTCATAAGTTCCCATACCTAAACTGTGAGAAGTTTAACCTCTTGTATTGAGATGAGTTCGGCTCTGGCCTTTCCCAAGAGGAGAGCTCTGAGCAGGCTTCTTAATGTTATGAAAAGAGTTCACCACTGAGGAAGTCAGGACCCCAGACCTTTTCATATGAATATTTGTTAATTTAACACATCTCAGGCCTTGTGCTGGAATTCCAGGGCACTCTATCAGGCTCACAGCACTTGGTATTGCTGACAGATGTGTGATCTGTGTCATCTCCCTGCAAGGACTTTCAGTTCCTTGGGAGAGAGATAATCTTTGTAGGGAAGACATCCCTGCAATAGGTAATATGTGGTCTTTAAAAGTTTTCTTCCTGTGCTACTTGGAAGAAAAGTTCTTTGGTGATTCTTCTCTGCTTTTGAAGATGGTCAAAAGCATATATTGATCTTCTGAAACAAAAGCCTTGTCTGAAGCCAATGCATACTTAGCAAACAGTGGGGCTTAGAGAAGTAGAATGCCAGAGGTAATCCATGGCTCCTGTGATGTCTTTCTTCTGCAGAGACACGGGGAACAGAGGGTGTTCCTCCATGGCAAATGTGTAACTCACGATAGGGAAGCTTGAGTCCCTTTGTTTACAAGAGATTCAAGTTGGTAACCATAGCTGAGCTCTGTGCAAGGTCCTTTGGAGTTGTAAATTGAGGAGTGTACCCTTGATGTCTTGAACTCTTCTGTTTGCAATGGTAAGACTCCACATTACCTACCCTCACAGGACTGCTGCACAACCCTAGAGTCCTAGAGTTGGAGGAACCTTTCTATCCATCTGGTTTCTCATTTTGCAGAATAAGGTGAGAAGGCAGAGGATGACTGTTCACCACTCTAGCCATTCCACTGTGGAGGAGATATCTCCTAGCACATGTGAAGGGAAAACCTCTGGTACCCTGGGGAAGTATCAGAAATTCCCAGAAACACAAACATAAAAGGTTATCCTAGTCCCAGGGACTGGGGTCTGTCTCAGTCACTTTGGCATGATAAACCAAAGGTCAGACTCAAGCCTGTATTATTCAAGACTGGCTGGGTGATTATCCCTATTGTAATTACTCTGAAATTGATCTGCAATGTATAATACTGATACGTAATCTTTTACCTATTTTCCCTCCCTCTATTGATTTTAATTAATGAAGGGTATTTGAGCTGTTATTTCTTGAGCTTATTTTTTTAAGAGTTGATTCTTTAAGGAGATAATCATAGCTGTAGACCAGGCTAGGGCTAGCTGATGTGCCTTAGAAACTTTGAATTCAATAAAGCAGTGTTTGGCAGTCTTTCTTTCATCACAGCGCAGGTAGAAAATATTACTGGAGTCAACAGATTGGGCGCACACCACAGGGGCTTCTGTTTGCCCAGGCCCCACCCACCCATTTCCAGGAGTTGAGACTTTAGTAGACCTGTAACCCATTTGAGGCCTGCCATGGGTGCAACGAGCTTGGGAAGATTTTGATAGAGAATTCTCAGACTAATAGGATATCTGCCTGAGCTTTGCTTCAGGATAATTCAAGGGTTGAGGGAGAGAAAAGAGGTGTGACTATCAACGAGAGTAAGTGAACAGTGATGGGAATGTGTGGGTTCATTATATTTCTACTGGTGCATATGTTTGAAATTTTCTGTAATAAAAAGTTAAAACAGGAAACAAATCATAGCCCAGGCCAGAAATGGACCCTGTTCAGTGGATTTCATCCTTGTTTGAATTAGGGTAGAAGTTGCAGGAGGTGTGGATTTAAGGTTGTTGTATAATGAAGAACGAGTGGCCTTTGTCCCTGGTTCCTGGGAGAGAGACTTTAAATCCTTGAAATTTCCCAAGTAATAGGAGCACCTTTCTTATTCACGAGCCTCTTGGATCACACCTGAGTTTATGCTAAGAGGTGATATGACTGTGACTCAGAATTGGGGCTGATCACCAGAAAGACCAACCATGTGATTAGAGGGTTGGGGCCTTAATCACGTGGCCAGTGATTCAATCAGTGATGCCTACATAATGAAACCCAAATAAAAACTCTGGACACTGAAGCTCAGTGTAGCTCCCTGGCTGGTGAACACATCAATGTGCCAGGAGGGTGATGTGCCCTGACTCCATGAGAAAAGTGCATGGAAGCTCTGCATGCAAGACCCTCCTGGGCCTTACCCTGTATCTTTTCATTTGGCTCATCCTAATTTGTATCCTTTATAATAAAACTGTAATCATAAGTGTGGTGCTATTCTGAGTTCCGTGATTTCTAGTGAATTATTAACCTGAGGGTGTTCATGGTAACCTGTATTTGTAGCCAGTCGGTCAGAAGTGCAGGTGACCTTAGATTCCCAAAGTGGGGCTGGCATCTAAACTTGGGGACTGGGTGCCTTAACCTGTGGCATCTGATCTAACTCTGGGTGGTTAGCATTAGAATTGTATTGCAGTACACGAGTTGGTTATCAGAACAGAGGTGGTGGGACCTGCAAACTTCGGCTGAGCTCTTGACCAACCTGTTAGAATAAAATATACTCTTTTAAACAGGAACTTCGGGCCGGCCTGTGGCTCACTCGGGAGAGTGTGGTGCTGATAAACAGGAACTTCCCAAGTTTTTTCTCTCCTATGTGGAGTCCCCACGGCTTCATGTGCCAGGTTTTGCTCTCTCTCATCCCCACCTCCTCTTGCAGTTTTTTCTTCCTCACTGTCACTGTAATCACAGAAATAATTATGTCAGTCCTCCCATTTGGAGATGACACTTCAACTGCCATGAGATACTCTTGTTCCAATAAAAAGTGCAGGATGGTAATTTGTGACTCCTCAGTAAAGTAAAGCCAAGCTGGGAGTATGTGCATGTGTGTGAGAAGGTGATTTTTAAGTCACTTGTGGTCTCTTGGAGTGAACCACTGACTAGTATTGGACTCTGTCAGGGGTCTTACATCTGCTTTCTCACCAATTCCCAGGCAGTCTTGAAATGCCATAACATCATGAATAATGGATGGATTCCCAACTGTTATTGACCTTGGAGTGGTAGTCTACCTGCATTTTATTGTGGCTCAATCCCAATACATAAAATACTAAAAGGCTCTAAAGCAGGTCTAGGAGTGAAGGGGAAGGTAAGGGATACAATAAGAAAGAGTAGTTGAAAGGGGGTGCTATGGTTTGAATGTCCCTTCCAAAACTCATGTTGAAACTTAA